CTGGGCTTTGGTTCGCGGGTCAGGGGAGTAACAGGCCTAGGCGCGGGTTCGCCCTGCGCCAGCCATCTGTGCCCGATCCCACCTAGGGTCTCTTTGACTCTTTCATGACACTGGAGCCGTGTGAGCGAGGAGGAAAGTGTGATAGTTTCCCTATAAAACTAATTCGTGCGTAAGCCGCCGTCCCTGCACTCACTTTGCTGTGGGGTACACTATGAAGATCGGCGAAAACGACAGTCTAACTGTCATATGCGGCCCCGAAATGTTGTAATGGATGTGGACCATGTTGCATGCTTCGCGATGAATATTTATGAACGAATAGATACGGAGCTACTCAAATGGATTTGGTCTGATTTAGAAAAAAGCTCAGAATTACCAACTTTTTGGAACCAAAAGTTACTTCTCCTTACAGTATAAAATTTTAAAAAGCCTACTATATGGCTAATAAAACGTTGTCGTGCCTTTTTTTTCATAAAATAGGCTTTCAACTTATAACGGCATCGAAAACCTATAGAAAAAAAACTTATACTGTTTAAGAAATAACTGGCTAGCGGGCGATGTTTTTGCAGGCGGCCGACAAGAAATGCCTTCAAAAGCCGACATCCTGATACTTTTAATATCTGTTGATTTAGCTGCATGATAATTCATATTAATAATAATTCAAAATATTAACATTATTTTGGTTGACTTTTCGTGAGATCTGCCATTAACTGTAGACATGACCGAATAAAACGAAAGGGATGAGCAGTATCTGTCAGGTTTTAGGGCTAGAAGCAAAACTTTCCTTACTAAGTATTGATGGGCGCCTGAGTACTGCAGTAAAAATAAACACATGTGCCCAGATAAAAATAGCAAGCAGTGCGCATTTAACAATATGTGAATCCTACCATATTTACGCTTCGTTCACGAAGTTCGGAACACTTTCTTTTCTGATCTTTAAGCTCAGTCGTTTTGTAGATCAGTTCCTGTCGAAGAGTGGAAGCCTATTGAAATCAAAAAATGACGCTTTAATACTAGAAATTATATTGGCTTCTTATTTGATCAATTATCGAGGCAAACGTTTACATTCTACGTGTATGTGAACGTGAAGAAGAAGAAGAAGAAGAAGAAAAGGATCAGGCTGTTCTCAATGCTCACCATGCGAAGACTCACAAACGAAGATGTGTGAGAACATTTCCATCGAATCCACACTCACTGCAGCAGCGTGGAAGAAACGGAACGTAAGACCCGATATCTCCGCGACCATTTTAAGTAGAAAGGGCCATAGGAAGGCGTTCATAAGATTATATTTACGGGTTCGACTTTCGGAAAACCAAACTAAAAATAGCACCTATGGTACGGCGTGCGCTGCTGTGCATCAAAGGCAACCAAGCGCAGTGTTGCGGGATTAGATGTCAGAATTGCACAGCGGTCAAAATCTGCCATTCGCAGCAGGGTCATAAAAGTCAAAGACCAGTTAAATCCTAGTGGGAAGGGGGGTGTAGTGTATCACATCCTGTGCCTAAACTGTTCTCTTACCTTCACTGGTCAGACTGGACGTATGTTTGGATTGCGCATACGCGAACATTAGCTGGCTATGAAATGGAGCGATATATTATCACAAGTGGCTGCCCACACCTACAGAACGGGTCGCTAACTTAACTATGCAGCAAAAATAATCATCCGTGCCAGAAGCAAGACAAATCACGGATTGATGGAAGCCTGGACTTCCGATGAGAACGCAGTCAATCGATATATTGATCCGGCGTTGGCACACAGAGTCCTGTGCAGTCAGCTCTGAACTAGCTTTGTGGTAGTTGAGTGGCTAGAGGATTGACTACATGTACAATGGTGCTCGAAAGCTCAGATCAATAAAAAAAAAGTAGTAGGGCGATCGAACCGTCTCCTTCTCCTCTTCCTTTTTTTTTCTTGTTTGCTGACGATCCATAACAAAAACAAAAACTAACAGTCCTAAAACTGACGCTGGGAGTTCTATTTTGCATAGAAAGTCTGATGGAACCGTAATAAATCAAAACATCTGGTAGCGTGCATCAGACTAAAAAAAACTCTGTAGTAGATATTCCATAATAGACTCCAATTTTTTCAATACAGCGAGTCTTCGAACTTACTACGTGCTCCGCCTCTTCGTACTTTTCGTTTATCTCCTCGAGGGCGTTTTTCAGCTTTTCGGTGCTTTGTGGGTCAGTTTTCGAGGCGTTGTCAGCGTTTGCGGTCGAAGTCTATAATTTTAATACTAAGTGAAAATGCAACCATATAACATAATTGCAAATAAGGTCCTTGCAGGTCTAGGATTCGCATGCGACTGCTATATGTTACATAGAGGTGATCAAACACAAGGGAATAGAAAATTACATGGGTGCAAGCAAGCATTAGTCATAAGTCTGACCGCTCACAAAGAGAATATCCTTAAAGTATGGTGGTAGAATAAAAGCTCGGGATGAAGTATAATGGTAACATGGATAAACACGTAAACAAACAGTAAATATACCTGTCCAGTGGTCTTACGTAAAGCCTCTTGGAGAGTGGCATTTTCAGCTTGTAAAGTCTTGTAAGCTGCGATGATATCTGGAGGATTATGATATGTAGGAAGGCAGGTACCTTTTAATTTTGCTTCGTATCGTTTGAGTTTAGCAGCCTGGTTTTGGAGAAGTTCCACTTCTGCCATATTCCTGCAAAACAAAACAGGGGTGTGCATAGAGGTAAGACTAATCAAAGCAGGATTGCTTGCGCGTTCTGGTTTCCCAAAACTCTTACAATTGAAATATTCATAGAATACTGATTACTGCAATCTTCATGAGGTATGGAATATTGACGAGCATGGCTCAGACTCGTCGCCCTACCTCATCTGATTATACAACTAAAATAAACTCTAAACAAAACGCTCTCTCAGCAAAACGACCCGGATATAAAAAACAAATCACGAGACATAAAGGCGACCAATTTGGATGCACTTGACGAACCGATATCGATCCTGATCAATAAATTCTTAATTAGGGATACTTCTTTGTTGAATATCAATACAGCTTAGTGGCGGTCACAGCCCATTCGCAACGACAGCTACTTTGTGAGCCTCACAGAATGCATCCAAACATTATTCAGCATTATTTCCACAAGTAGTCAGGAAAATATCATAGGACTTACCAACCGATTGCTGAAGTTGGCTTGATACTGTATAGTAAAACAGCTGTAAATGAAAATTAAAACGTATTGTAGTCACCGGCAATGGAAGTAAAGCTTGCATGTTACGATTATATATAGCATGTTTCTCAAGACCTCAAGGTAAGTATGTGAATAGGCTCGGCGACCCAAATATACTTCAGCAACGACTGAGCCGTAAGCACAATATGTTACTGTCATGCTAACAGTACGCTGAACATTCTCTATCACTCTACTACTATTCTGCTTTTTCCCATTTTATTTCTAATACGCCAATTGTAAGATGAATGAAATCGAATTATGGGGTACTCATAAATCCTGACTCCTCGTCTGTTTGACTCGTAGTGCGCAGTCAAGATTTTCTATTTATTGCGATTACGACAATTTATTCATATTACAAGTAAAATGAACCGACTCCTCAAGCGAGAATGATGTAACAAGAATCCGAATGCACCGGAACCCTCCAAACCGAATAAGTTGAGCGTTCTGGCTAATTATGTCTCTCCAACCATTTGAGAATGCATTAGTGAATGCACCAGTTACGAAGATGCTATTAAATTGCTGAAAGACCTTTATTCGAAACCTAAAAACGAAAGCTTCGTGCGCTACCTTCTAGTGAATTTTAGACAAGAGTTTAGAAAAACCCTCCATCAATTCGCCTAGAGACTGAACTCTTTAGCTAAAGACTGCGCTTTCAAAGCGGCTACAGCAGAGCAATATCGTGATGACGCCGTCAGAAAAGCCTTCATTAGTAGATTTTCATCAAATAAGATTTGACAGACAGTTGGAACATAAGACCTTGAACTTTCAAACTGTGTTTTATCAAGCGAGATCTTCGGAATCGGCTAAAAGAGTCTTTATCCTGCCAAAACCCTCCAACGACCGCATTCGCCGCTGCCACCGAGATGTGCGATACATCATGCAATCCTACTAAAACAACGGACACTGTAGCCTCTAGCTAGAAATAATTGTAAACTGCACTACTCTCGCATCAAAATATCTGTAGCCCATACTGCTTTAACTAGCACCACGCATGGACAGCTGTTAAACGCAAGTAACAGCTGTTACTTGAGCCAGTTAGCGTTCGAATTATCAGTGCGCTAGTCCTAATAGGCGAAGTACATCGCAATTATGTGCCGTATTTGTTTCAGGTTCTAAGTAAAAACGCTAGCCAGAGTGATGGGAAACTAGGGTTTATCACCTGTGAGTTCCGTTAT